AAAAAACAAACAAAAACATTTATTCAGCAAGGACACATTAAATTGATCAAAAGTAACATTTATAATTTTACAAAAAATGTATATTTCAAATAAGTGCTGTTCTTTTTTTAATGTCAATTTTGAAACTTAAACTTCTATTCATCAAAGAATCCTAAAAAAAATATTCACAGTTTCCACAAAAATATTGAGCAGTAAAAACTGTTTTCAACATTGATAAAAAGAATTGTGAATGTATAACAATAACTTTAGTTGTTTGTAACTATGGTACTGTGCTTACCATGGTACTTTTGGCAGCGAATTAAATTCCAGCTGTGTTTAAAATCTTGTGTAAAATCATTGCATAAGCGGAAGTACTAAATATAAAGTTGTTTTACTTCTGTCTTATTCATGTGTTACAGATGTTTGGCTTTCATAAGCCAAAGATGTACCGCAGCCTTGATGGATGTTGCATCTGCAGGGCAAAATCCTCCAGCTCTCGTTTCACTGACAGCAAACGCTATGAGAGAGACTTTCAGAGCTGCTTTGGGTGAGTTTGGTATCTATTGTTTGCTTGTGGTTCCTCTGTAATAACATGATATTTAACATCTGCCTGGTTTAAGTACAGTGCGGATTGGTATAATGTATCTCTAGTCAAGCGTTCAGACCTTTTCTTTTAGAATAATGTGGAATAAATAATGTTGTTTGTTTGTAATGTGAGAACTTCAGTGATTTCATATGCATTCTCCTATTACAATGATATACAATGGGATACTTCTACAGTTTAGGGGAGACTCGCTCTGGTGAAATCTGCAATGCTTGTGTTCTGTTGGTGAAGCGCTGGAAGAAGCTTCCCGTCGGTTCCAAGAAGAACTGGAATCATGTAAGCTCCGTCAAATTCACCAGTCTCCCAGCTCCAACAGGAGTGTGCATATGCACACTCACACAGCCTCTCATTTATCACAATGAAGTCTTTTCAGTTCAATTTTCAATACACATTGTTCCAAAGCAGCCTTACAGAAACACCCTTAGTGAACAAGTGAACTGTAGCTGAGGTGGCAACTCCCTAAGATGTCAAAGTAGATGAGGAGGAAACCTTTGGAGGAACTGAGAATCAGCTGGGGAAGCCCACATCCTCAGAATAACATATTTAAACAATTTCATACACGCACAAATTATTTGAACAGATGCAAAAGTATTAATAATAATAGTATTACTACATAGAATTACAAGGTAGTAGTCACTACTTTGCTAATGCAGTTCATATGATATGAAAAATAATGTAATCATGTTTGGGCCCACTGATTACAGATAACCTGTTGTAGTTGATCTAAATAATTAATATTAATAATAATAATAATTTTAATTATTATTATTTATTGTCTTGTTTATAACTAATATAATTTTAATTATATGACAATAAATACATAAGTAACAAATTATAAACCTGACCTATAATATATAAGTAAATGACTAAAGTCTTTCTTTATATAAAACATAGTTTCAAAGCAGCTTCATAGTAATAAAGGAAAATAACAGAATCAATAATGCAAACGTCATCAAATATGATAAAAATATTATAATTGTGACCAAAAAAATAATATATTTTATTAGTTCTAAACAAAACCATTTATATTAGTTTGTGTTTTAGGCATTATATTATATGACAATAAATAAATAAAAATAATTATAAACCTGACCTGTGATCTAATATAATATAATGCCTAAAAATACAAATTAATATACAGTAAACATATTTATTGTTTTGTTTAGAACTAATATAAAATCAATTATATAATAAATCAATAAATAGACAATGAACCTGACCTATAATATCTATAGAGAAATTAATATATATTTGCTGCTTTGTATATAACTAATATAATATCAATTATATGGAAATAAATTAATAAACAAATAAATTTCCATCACAGTCTGAGGATTGTTATTGTGATCAATTGTTGTCAGGTGGTTGATGCGCGAGGGGGACCCAGTCTGAAAACTACAGTGAAGTCAAAGAAAGTCAAATCCCTGTCCAGTCGGATCAGACCGAACCAGCTCAGCAGAGTTCAGAAGGAACTGAAGAGACACAGTGAGTACACAATCACATATTTCAATTACAAAAACAACATGAAATGCCTCTTAACATGTTCCTTATTAAATCATTTTTCACGTGATCATTTTGGCAAAATGTCTTCGTTAACAGATTCAGATGCTCACAGCACCACCTCCAGTGCCAGCCCTGCCCAGTCGCCCAGCTACAGTAACCAATCAGATGAAGGCTCTGACTCGGAGTTGACTCCTGGCTCTGCCCGCTCTCCAGTCTTTTCCTTCTTGGACCTGACATACTGGAAAAGGTCTTTACTTTACTTTTTTACTTTACTCTGATGACTTTACCTGTCATCATAATGAATACTTTTTAAGTTAAATGAGTTCATTTATAATTCTCTCTAGGCAGCGGGTATGTTGTGGCATCATCTATAAAGGTCGCTTTGGGGAGGTTCTGATTGACCCTCATCTCTACAAGCCCTGCTGTCAGAAAAAACAGGAGCAAGAGCAAGAGCAAGAGGAAGAAGAAGAAGAAGAGGAGGAGGAGGTGGAGGAGGAGGAGGAGGAAGAAGAGGAGGAAGACGGTGACCTTGAGAAAGAGGAGGTGCAGAGCAGTCAAGAAATTCTCTCGTCCATTCAACCGCACTCCTCTCCTCAAATAGAAATGGAGCAGGAAGTGGATGAGGAGTGGTGATGCCACATTCCCACAGTACTGATTTGGCATTCTTAGGAAGCCTTCGAGAGTCGAAACCCACTCTCAAAGACGTTCTCTCGGATTGCCTTCGATTCAAGAGCAGCCGGATCCTTGCTCGTCTTTTCCTGTTTCTTTCTTCCTTGTTGAGAATGTGTCTCTTTCATTTCCTTCGCAGTCAAATCAACTTTTATTTATCAAACTGAACTGTCGTCCTTGTTTTCAAGAGCCTGGTACCACGTTATTCCATTTCCTATGAGGATTTTATTTTTTTTGTAGACCAGAGAAAATGAGTTTCCTTTCTTGCTATCCCGCTCAAACACAGAATGCTGGATCTACATACATCATGCATAGAAATCTAGACCGTGACCACAATCCTACGCTGTCACTTTTATACTCTTGAGCACCATTCTGCCCTTCCGTTGGGGAGACTGTCTCTCTGCACTTAGTGTACAGTATTTAGTATACAGCAAGCAGCATCTGCTCAATTCTAGCTCAGTGAAGATGATGTTCCACCATTTTGCTGGGATATAGCGATTATTTAGGGAAGATCTTTGCCTTTTATATATATATTTTTTTCTATCTTTGTCTTTATTGTTAAGGTGTACTCTGATTTTTCCTCTGTTTTATTTAAAGGTACAGGTCACCTAAGTGTTTTTTTTTTTTTTTTTTTTAAATGTGTCGGTATTCTGTCATTCATAATTTTTTTTTTTCGTGGAGCACAAAAAGTGAGTTTTTGAAGAACATCTAGCTGCTTTATTCAAAATAATGGAAGTGAATGGGGACTGGGGCTGTCAAGCTCCAAAATGACTAAAGCACCCCAAAAGTATCTTAACAATTGAGCTGTGCTCTATGCTCCAAGTCTTTTATAGCCATATGATAGCGATAAACGTGTTTGTCAAATGGACTTCTTTTAATAAATATTTACTGTGCTTTTTGTCTTGATTGCTTCAGTTCCCCTTCACTTTTATTATACAGAAAATATACTGCATGATATGCTTGAAAAACTCACTTTTTTGAGTTTAATGTAAGGAAAGTGAAGTGTGATGATGTGAAGGTGAGTAAATGACGACAGATTTTTAGTTTTAGGGTGAACTGTCACTTTTAAACCCTGATTTCAGTGCGGGTTGTATTCAGCCTCTAATAGGCAACTCAACTCATAGTGTTTTACTGCAAACGTTTCCCCAGACAGCTTTTCTGTGGTGCTGAGGCAGACTGGGCATGGCCAACCAAAAATAATGCCTGGCTATCAACACTCTTGTATTCAGCGTACTAATGTAAATATCCAAAAGTGTAGATTTGATTTAAGGTTTGTGGAAAAGAGCATGAACCCTAAGGAAACTATTGTCTTGATGAAAACTTGCATGAATTTTGCATGGCATTTTAAGATTTTTCATTTCTTTTTATTAGTTTTGCAACCATGTTGCAACATAATTTAATAATAATTTGGGCACATTTTGAGACAGTCCCAATATATTTTTGTAGATAAATACAAGAAAAGAACAAAAATGAAATCAGAATTTCATTTTCATTTCAAAATTTTAGAATTGGATATTTTCAATATTGTCTCATTCAAAGCCAAAAAGTCCAACATTTTTGCTATTTATTCAGTCATCTTATATACATGTGTAAATACTGTGTTTTCACAATGACAGATACTACTACTTTTTTACTGTCATGAAAGAATTGAGCACATGGTCTGAACGTTTTGGTCGTTTTTTTTGCCTTTTTATGCCAGGGAAAACTTAAAAAAAAAAACTGAAAGGCTAAACCAATGTCAGCTTGTACATTTTCATTATAAATGACTTGTCTGTAATAAGCTTTCATATAATGAGTATTCATACTAAATATCCCAAGGTTTCCCCTTTGTTTCAATAGGTCTGTCCTGCCTGTTCTTTATAATTGTATTGTTTGTGATAGCCTTGGTTGTCTTGGATTGAACAAATTACATTGACGCACACATACTTCTGTTTAATTCCAAGGGGTGGCGATAGAGAGCTCATTTGTTTCACATAAAACACTTCAATGCACATGAATTTGAATTCTTCTCTCTAATATATGCTCTGTTTTGAAATGGGTATTTTGATGGTGGCAGCTTGTGGCTTTAGTGTGAATCTGCCACATCACGGAATGACATGAACAATGACTGTATTTGTGATAACATCCGTTCAGGTGAAGCACCTACATGGGGATTCCTATCGTGTCATGTCTATGATGGCGGTTTTTGTAAATATAAGATGTGTAAGACTGAGCAACAGTTATTATGAATACTCTTTTGTCTTATTTATTTTATATTTATTTTTCTTGTGGTCTTTTCTTTTTAAGTCTCATCTGATTTTGTCATTTTGACCTGTCCTAACAACACTGCAATATGGACTGAAAACGCTTTTACACATCACAGATTGTCAGCCGAGACTCACTGAATGTTATGGAGAACTTCAGGACCGAACAGCTGTAAAAACAGACTTTTTTTTTTGGTTTATGCTAAGTACAACTATGATTATTTTTATACTTTTGTTTGAGGGTTTCTAATGCCTGCATACCTTACCTTAGACTAGTCCGTTAGTTGTAGTGCTACAGGCATGTATGGTAGCTATGCACTTTGTATTCACATTACTAGAGATATATGAAGCAGGTTTTGTATTTTTTTACATATTGTACCTTTTACTTGTTCCTCAATAAATGTAACTTGTGATGGTTACGCTTGTTATGTGCATTGGTGTAAACATGTATGCATTTGACAGCCACTTGCATTAATATTTTACTAATACATGCATTCCCTGGGAATTGAACCTATGACCTTGGCATTGCTAGTGCCATGATACTGTTTGAGCTACAGGAACATGTACATAGATAGGTCATGCCAGCACATTAAATGAGCTATATAGAGTAATAGATAGAGAGTGGCTGGTGTTCTTGGTGCTTGCAACACCAAGGTTGTGGGTTCAATTCTCGGGAAAAAATAGGCTACCAATTTTTTGGTCAGTAAAAAGAAATGAATACTTTCATTCAGCAAGGACACATTGAATTGAACAGTAAATACTTTTATAATGTTACAAAACATTTCTGTTTCAAGTAAATGCTGTTCTTTTGAACTTTTCAATTCTGACAAAAGTATCACAGTTTTCACAAAAAAAATATTACGCGTCTGTTTTCAACATATACTAATAAGAGTTTCTGCAGGCTTTATGAAGGTGAATTCAAGGCTTTTAAGGGGACACAAAGAAATTCCTTAAAATGAAGTGAACAAGAACAAATATCTGCCAGTGAGCTCAGAGAAATACATTTCATTCAAAGGGAAAACAAGTTTATTTTTCTGACCCGATTGGCAGATATTTGTTCTTGTTTTATGCATAACTACACTTAATTTCTCAAAATAGCAAGACAAATACTGAGGAATAGGCTATATTCATTTTTTGCAGTGCATGCAACATATAAAGCCATGACTTCAAAGATAAATGTAAAACTTTCTGCTCTGATTTAAGATCTTTTTAACAGATAATACAAAATGTTTATTGAGCACCAAATGAGCATTTCTTTTTTTTGCCATGAGGCCTATTAGACATGTTTGAACTATTGTAACGAACTATTTACCATAAAATTACAAATGACAGTGACAAATGTATCAATTTTCTCAGTTTTTACACAAAATTGTTGTGTAAACGTCAAGCTGAATCATTCAATCATTTACATATTCTCAATAACTACAAACAAACCATTATTTAGTACCACATTTGTTAGCCCCTTGAATGTCAGACTAAATTTGCAACCCTGTTACGTATTCAACCCTGTTACCCATTCTGGAAAAGTTATTTGTATATATTATTTATTAATGTAAATGTTAGATAGATGGATGGATGGATGGATGCTGTGGGTGGGTGGATGGATGAGAGCGTGAGAGAGAGAGTGCTGAGAATGCGCGCAGGGAACGGTCCTGTGTTTGGCTGTGACGTCATGATTGCTCCGCCAGCTGATGGGGTTCCTCTGCTCTGAGGGCATAAAAAGGTGAGAGGCGGCTGCGGTCTGTCCTCTCTGTTTCCTCACCGCTTTATGTCGTCTTTCCACCAGCTCACCGAAAGGCTACCTCGTTTGCTTTGACTCTCAATGAGCAGCCTTCCCACCCAAGTCATCTTAACGATCTGAAACGCAGCAAACAAACACACACACCGGCTCTGGCAGAGACGCATGAGGTAGGTGAGATTTGTGCAAATGCTTTGCTCATTGCACCTGTGTGTTATGTTGTCACATGCATCTGTGGCTTTATTCGTCCTCTAGCAACTTATTTGCGTTCGCTGCGCGTGCTTTTGGGTGGTGGCACCACGTCGATGCTGTTTGGGCAGGATTATTCTGGAAAGCATCAAACTCGTGTCGGATAAAGTCTTTAAAAGTTGCATTTTGCACTGTTGTAACTGCTCTTTTTCAAATGCAAGTTATTATAGCTTCATTTGGTGTTCTACTGGATGCATAATCAATGTTTACGAACGCCGTAATTGCATTAGACGATATTTGTAAATGGCTGACAGTAAACGACTACGGTTTTAATGTTACTTCGTGATTTCCGGGATTAATTCGCTTTTGAATGTTTCATTTGTATTCCAGCATGTAAATGCCGTGTCATGGTCAGCACTGGCGAATGTCCAGACACAAGGGAAGATTTTAGCTCGCATAATCGAGTTCTACACACTGTTCAGGCTGTGCCTTTTGGGTTTAACTTTACAGTATGTGTGCTGAGATTTTTTTCATCCCTTTGTGCTGAGATTCTTTTATTGTCATTGAATGACTGAACTCCTTGCATGAAGAACCAGGATACATTTGCCTTATGCATGCTTCTAACTTGAAGGCAAAGGTAGTATTTATATAGCACAGCACAGGCATAAAAAAACAGACAACAGACTCACCCACGTGTCAGACCTGTACGAATACAAGTTTTTGGAGAATCAGGGTTATTATAGTTATCTAAGACTAAAACCATAAAAACGTTTTGTTAATTCAGTCAAAATATATGTTAACTAAATAGTTTAATTATTTCAGCTATTTCAGCTCTTGTTGTAGAAACCCTTCTCATTTTCGTTTAGTTGAACTTGATGTAGGCCTACTGAAATAATTTCAGTATTTAATATCAAATATTATCAAATCTGACAAACCCAATAAAAATGACAAACGCACAACAAAATTACTGAAACTTTAACAATGATTAAAATGAAAACGTAACATATTAAATACCTTAATATGATATTATAAACATTACTAAAACTATAATAGTATCTCAGTGAAACCAAAATAACACTGAAGAATTTACTGATAATTGGAGATTATTGGTGATTTTAAATTTAGCATTTGCTAGTTTTATTCTACATTGCCCAGTGAGGGTCGCTTCAGTCACATGACCCTGTATTATTAGACTCTTGTGGTTGTGGAATAACTTAAAAATACCTGCACATGTATTTGAGTTTGTGTGATGCTGTATGACTACTGTGGTATGCAAATGTTTTTTTTTTTTTTTTTTTTTTTTTTTTTATAAATTAGGCAATGCGAATTATCTTACTCCATAAGACATTACCTAATATTCCATTCTGAGCATGGCTATAAACATCTCTTTTTAGTTCCATAATAAATAGTGTGACCTTTCTGTTCATTGTCCCTCTCTGCTTCAGAGAGACCAAGATCATGGTACAGCTGT